CGATAAGAAGCAACAGAGGAGCCGCAATGTTATCCTTTTGTATATACAATCATAGAGTCCAAGAATGGAACAAGCGAACCATGATATTGCAAGGACCTGTAGAGAGATTCCATGTTTGTGGATTGAGGTTGGTCATTTTATGTACCACACTGCACTTAGTTCAACCTTCCACAATGATGAGACACATGAGACAACATCGGGTTCAAGAAACCCGCTGGTGTCAAGTTCTTTGCGACCACCAAAATGGCATTTCTGACAAGCCGGGCTCCGAAGCGCCAGCGCGAATGGACAACGCAGAGCCGCAAAGTCCTCCTGGCAGATGAGCAGATTCGAGGGAACTAGTGTTGGCGTGTTTTGATACTACCTGACTTGGTAAGTTGGATGTGGGAACTTGGCATTGGAACCCGTGCTGTTTGATTCAAAGGAGAAACCAGCTCAAGAAAAAGCCGACATGGGTTAGCATTTCTCGATTCAGGAACTCTACGCTTTGGTTTGACAGAGCTCAAAAGTCGCTTGAGGAATTGCGGGCTCCCTTTTGAAACTCTCTGCGCCCAGAGGTTCCGGTCGCCTTTTGCCTTCGGTCTAAGAAGGTTTATTGGTGGAGGTCTGAACTCACTTGTTCTTAGCAGAGGTGTGAGAGAAGTGCCAGCATCTTCTTGTCTCGACGGTTAACGTTCGACATGGAGCGGCTTACTGAGACTGTTGAGTCCGGATTCGCCAAATCCTCGTTGATTCACATGGGGGGTGTCCTATGTACGAGAGGCTCCCTCACTTTTGCACTTTTGGGGCAAACGACCCCGCTATGTTTGCGCAGGGTTTACTCATCCGGGGTCGACGATAGACAGGACTTGTATTTCGCAAGGGTTGAGGCCATTGAGGGTAAAAGAACATTTCCAAGCGCCCTGAGCGTACGGTACGTGCGCATTTGCACATGGCGCGTATCTTCTCGTCGGCTCCGCTTGAAGATGGACGACCAAAAGTAGATACGATGACGCAAATCCATGACGCGTGGACTCAAGACGTACCGTGTTTACACCAATCAAGTAGGCAGGCGAACGAACTGGATGAATTGACTTGATTCATAGTGAGATAGTGAGTTCAAACATCATCTGATAATATGATTCGGCCCAAGCGAACCAACCCAACGCCAAGCTAAGCTACTTAAACCAAGCCAACCACACCAGACCGAAACCAAAACCAAGCCAGGCGTTCCCGCAACCCAGCCGAACCGAAACCAAAAAGGAGGTTTCTCAAAATCAGTGATCTCTCTTGCGGCCATGGTTTTAAAGGGTTTCACCAACAGGACACCAGTAAATAGCTCTTAAATACATAGTCAAATCAAAAACTCCTAAATATTTATGCAAGTACCCTCCGACCAAGTAACGTGGAAGTCCATAGTCCACAAGACCACTTTCCTCTTGGAAAGCGGTAAGCGGTGCGCTTCCAAGGTTTAGTTGGGAGGGTAAATCGATGGAAAAATCTGTCAACCTCCTGGATCTTTTTTTTTCTTCTTCTTTATTTTTTCTCCCTTTTTTCCCTTTTGGGCGCTGTACTAAAAAAGGAAAGAGAAGCAAAAAGACGAGGCCAAGCCGGGTGGGCGCCGCCCGGCCAGCCTGGAGGACTTGCTCTCGAGGCCTGGGGATGGAGCAAAAACATCGAGGTCGCGTTTAGCTGGGTGCCCTTTCTCACCCCTTTTTTTCGGGGAGGGTTCCCCTACTAAGATAGACTTCTTCTTCTTCTTCCGCACGGCTGAGGGGATCAATCCGCGCCACATGCTGTTCGAAAACGAACTCCCCTACTAAGATTTCACTACAGAAGGAAAAAGAAATAACCTTATTCGGACCTCTCTACTGGAGGACATAGAAATGGTTCTGCGTAGTTTAGGGCGAGCTCACCAGGCAAGAACGAGCGAAAGCCAAGATGCTTTGCTTGGAGTTATTGTAAAGACTTGCGGAGAGTTGGTGATTCCAACATGGGTTGCCCGATCGGCAAATGGAAGACCACGTCGGGGGTTGATGAACATTGGGGACCCAGAAATGCCGGACACGCCGATACCCATGTGGGGATCCAAAGAATTGGGGGCACCAACAAATGGAGGTTGATCACCTTTCCCAAAATGGAGGTTTCCACGGGACGGCTCAAGTACTTCGGGGGACGCGATGCATCCCTACTTGGTTGGTCCGGCCAGGTCTTAATGCTGTCCGACGAGCAACAGCGTGTTGCTCCATCGCCTAAATGGGGGTTGGGTGACCAGGGAAGCCACCCAGAAAAGATGACTTTCACAAGTTACGCAGGATCATGTTTGGGGCCAAGACAATTACTTGTTTGTTTGCTGCTTTAAAATTCGGACGCAAACAATAAGGGGCTTTGTTTGGAGGGGTTTCCCTCAAAACAGAGGCCCAAAGAGGTACGCGTGAAAAGGAGAGCCCCCTATGATGGCTTTCCTGTTTATATTTCTTTAAGCCCCCCCTCAAACATTCACGCACCTAAATTCACGTGCCCCGCTTCTGGTCTTGGTCGTAGAAGAGTTTCAAGTAGATGCTCCACCTACAAACATTGAGGCGCACCAATTAGACTGAGCTGACTGATCTGGGATAAAGCGAGCTCACGCATGAGGGTCCCTGACTTGGACATTCCATATTTCCAGCTGGCTTCTATCAATCCAAACATGGATTTCTCCTTTCTCGAAGGTGCTCTTCTGGTTGTCAGTTTGAGAGGATACAGGGAACTTCCACCCATTTGCTGTCGATTTTGGGGTCAATGCGTTGTTTTTATCCAACGCCTCAGCCAACTCGGCCAACGCGGCGACGCTTTGGGCGCCCGGATCGGATGGATAGACGGGTTTCGGACTGTTCGCAGGCTCTACAAGACCTGCGAAAGCACCAAGCCGCAGGCAGGGGAGAGTGAAGTTGGGCTGACTGGCCCAGGGCTTGCCCAAGAAGCAAATGTGTGGAGGAAACCTCCTTTGGGAAATGGACCTTTCTTTGGTTCTATGTTAAGTCGTAGGGGAGTAAATAGGTAACATGATATCTTTGCCCTTTGGATCCTTTTGTGGGTTTTGGGTAGGCGCTGGCTCAGCTGGTTTGGGTTGAGGCAGGGTCAGTCTGCGCCCACAGCGATTCCAATCAGGCGTCATTTTGCAGGTGGGTCGGTTCCTGTTTGGCCTCATGGGTTTGTATGGCCCAACCATGCTAATGAATTCTAGCAACAGTCCCTCAACATGGACATGGGGGAGGTTGAGAAGCCCTTGGTCCCTGTTCGAAGGATGGACCTCTTTGCTTCATTTGGGTGAGCATGAGCGTTTCTCCAGTAATCCGCGGTTGTGAGAACTTGGATTTCAGTTTCTACTTTCTGCTGGGCAAGCGAACCCTTGGCGGTGACAAAGTCATTATCGAAATCTCCCTTTGGCATTTGAGCTTTGAACAACCATGTTGACCAGCCGTCATAGGAGGCTTCCCTTGTTGGAAGAACCACCAATTGTACGGATGCAGCTGTTTACCCACAGAAACAGGAGTCATACCATCTTTCCTGCAAGGCACAGGCTGTTTGGGTACCTTCCCGGAGGAGCTTTCTGGTACTTTGGCCCGAAAGTGAGCGAAGTGATCAGCTTTGTGCCCAGTTACCTCTAGCTTTACCCTCCCCCTTGCCCTTGCGATGCTGGCGGCGATCGTCATCGGGAAGAGAACTCTTCGGTGGCTGCGGGCTCCATGCCAAGCGCTTGCTGAAGGCTCCCCGAGCCTAGGGCGTCACCAGGCTATGAATCAGTTTCAAAGCGGAACCACCTCGCAAGTGGTTGGTGGGCATTTTTCCTTCCCCCCTGAAGAACGTCCACCAAAGGAGCCGTCTTTTTTTTTTTCCTCGGCGCCGTGCGGAAGCCACGTCTTGGTCCTGCGCCCCGCCCCGCCCGAACCCTGGATCGATCCCAGCTCCCAGAATTCCCGCAGACCCCAAAACCCAAAACCCGAAGTCCTAAGGCCCCCCGCCCCAAAGCCCAAAACCCCAAGCCCCAAAAACCCGAAGCCCCAAACCCCAAACCCAAAAACCCCAAAAAACCCAAAACCCTAAACCCCAAAAACCCGAAGCCCCAGACACCCGGCCCGACTTCTTTCCCGGCCGAAGTCCGTTCGGCGTCTCTTCGCATCCAGAACTGCGCGCCCACCTGGGAAGCCACGGGGCCATCCTACAAAGAGATCCTGGGACAGCCGCCGGCCCAGCTACAGTCCGGAGATATGGCCGAGTTGGCTTCTCAAAATCCCAAAATCGGGTTACCCCCCCGTTTTCACGGGACCCAATCCAACCACTAAAATAGGAAGCCTAAGATGGGTTGGCCGAGTTGGCGATTGGGATTCAACCAGAAAAAGGTCGGACCTAGGTCCGCTTTTTACCCCGAAACCGGAACCAAATGGGTGGAAGTTCCTTTTGGAATCACTTGGCCATGGGCTTTTCAAAATCCTAAATTCCGTTGGCCCCCAGTTTTCACATCAACCAATCCAACCACTAGAATAGGTTCTAAAATGGGTGGTGAATTTACCCCAGAATGATATCCCGTTGGTTTTGACCCACAGCCATATGGGATGTCTGAAAACAGGATGAGTATGTCTTAAATAGGGGATTGGACCCCCTAAAATGCTGGCTTTCCTTCAATGCCAGCCACAAGGGGTCCACCATTTTGAGAAACACTCCATCTCTTTCCCAATAGCCAGGGGACTCAACATTTGCCCCCCTGTGGTTTGAAACAGGTTTCCTATTTAAAGAGAGTAAACGGGTTGCGATCGCCTCCACCAAAAGGTTGATTCGAGATCTGATGTGTCTCATCCTGGTTTCTATGCTGCCATGGCTCGTGTATGTCATTTTGAGGAAGGACGGCTGCACAGGATATTCGGTTTACTTTGCCAGTAAAATGCATTGTCCAAATCTACGGGAATGACCTTCGGAGCAAAAACAAAGGGGGTGCACCACTTGTCCCATGTCCGCTTGGAGAAACAGGTAATTGTGACCGTGGCCCATATCTGATTTTCCAACTCCGCTTTGAGTCTTTGCGTATGCAACTCATGGGCAGCACTCGTGAGATGTGTCCACGTCTCATTTTTTGGTTTGTGTAAAATGGCGGCGCACTCTTGGAACACATCTGGACAAGTCTTCAACTCCAAGATGCATTTCACTACCCCAAACCGCTCGCCCCCCAGCAAAAAAAGGGGGTATGTATCGTTTAATGGCTGCATAGTGATTGTACACTTGAAGGTTCCTTTTTTTTGGACTACCTTACTAGAAAGAACTGTCCTCTTGCAGGTATGCCAAACTTGTCAACAGAGGTTGCGGCAGAAGGCCCGCGCGTTGCTGCAGGATATCGGATCCATTAGCAGTGCCACTTTCTGTGATTGGGGAGTATTTGGGGAACCAGAGGCCCCCTAACAATAAAAGTTTTTTGCCGTCAGAGGGTTTCATAGGCTTTCTGTTCATGTACAAAACCCATAGCCCACAGGAAGCGGTGTCACCGGCTCTCGGAGCTGAGGCCCACGCCAAACCAGCCAGGAGATGGGGAGGGGCCCGGGATACAGCTCTCACCGGTTGGGGGGAGGGGAGGGCATTCGGGCGCCTCGTTTTTTTTCTTCTTTCTTTTTTTTTTGGGGGGGGGGAAAGACTTGATGGACTGGAAATGGGTTGCCAGAATTTACAGATGCCGCAAGGTGAGGAACGGCGAAAGTCGACGGTTTGAACCTTGATTTCTCTCTTAAGAGATCAAGAAAGGGGGCGACTCTATGAGACATATCCCACATGGGGGATGACACACCTTGCACCATATGATTTCTCTAATCAGACCATCGTTAAACTCCAACTTTGGGCCAGTCCTGGGGGGTTTATCGGTTACCCCAGGAGACAAAGCCATATGGAAACGGGGTGCCCTTTGCTACGAATCAACTTCATGACCCGAATGTTCATACGTATCTGACGCCAAAGCTCAGGCTTGAGTCCAGAACAGAGCTCTGAGCAATGCGCCAAAGCGGGCGTCAGATGCAGTCTCGGCGCGAAGACGTGAAAGAAGATGCAGGGGCATGCTCCTAGTCTGGTGGGGGGAACCACACTTGCCACTTGCATAGTGACCAATGTGTTGCGCGGTTTTGGGAATGATTCAAATCAGATGGATCGACACGCTCGCATGTGTGTTTATGCCGAGCATAACTAACTTCACCCCAGCCGGAAACTCGAATTTACTCTTCAAAGACCCTTGGGCGTTTTGTTTGTTCCCACGGGAAGCTTCCAACGAACTGGCCCAAAAGACGTTAGCTAGCATCGCAGGGCTCCTTACAAGATACATGTTGCCCATTTGAACCATGGCTTTTTCCAGTAAAATAAAGGGACACCACCATATACAAGTCGCAATGCTCAGGTGTACAATGCATCCGGATCCCTTGCACCGCCACCCCCCATGCCCTCCGCCCCATGCCCCCACTCCGGGCCGCAGGAAGCGCGCATCTCCTGCAGCAGGTGCAATCCCAGAGCCAGCGAGGGCCCCGGGCAAGGTTTGGCTCGCCCCGTTGCGAGGACCGTCGGAAACAGCATGCGGGTCAAAGATGGTGAACGCGTAGGCTTGAGTCCTTGGTTCCTTTGTTAGGGTCCCAATTCGGGACCTGTTTTTGATCAGGCATGTGATTTGCAGGGGTCCTGTCCTTTCCCAGCCCATTTGAATCGAGTTTCTCTTTGTCTTTGTTTAGAGATTCTTTGGTGGTTGGTTATAATGGGCACCCAAGCAGACACCGGGCCTATTTTTGGGTTTTGAATTTTGCGACAGGCCCGAACGGACCTTGGCTTTGGCCCATTTGGGTTGGAGGGGTCCTCGCTGTTTGCTTTTCCGTCTCTTTGAAGTGAGCAGCTCCCATTTGGCTGCGGGTCAAACCCAATGGTACCATTCTGGGGTAGGTGCACCACCCATTTTAGTCTATTTTAGTGGAGATTGGGATGTTCACTGGGGGTACGGGCTTTTGACCCATGTTTTGCAAATGCGTGGTTCACCCAGATGCCGCTTTTTAGCCATGGGTAGTTTGTGAACATTCGCCAGACAACAGGGGTGCTCTGTCGCAGCCCAGAGTTTGGGAAAACCAAAAGGGGATGGATGTCTTTTCATTTGTCGAGCAGTTCCCCACGAATCTTGTTTGCACCTAGATTCTGCTTTTCATTTGTCCAGACCCCCTACTTGGCGATTAGATGATCGCGCATACAGACACATCTTTCCTGGGTGAGGGTACCCGTGGACTGAGGTCGTTTTTAAAGAGACATCCCGCATGACGCCACCGTTTCTCTAGGGGTGCCTTCCCCATTCTTTCTAGGGATCTTTTTTCTTTCAGGAAACCATCAAAAACCCACGGGAAACAGCTCCGCTTTTTGAAAAGACGATGGTTGAAAAGCATGGAAAAGGACTCAACTCCTAGAGTTTCAGACAGAAGCGCCACTTGGGGAGAGAGCTAAAAACTGAGGCAGCAGCATCAGCAGCAGCAGGCTCAACAGCAGGCCCAGCAGCAGCAGCAGGCGGCGCAGCAGGCGGCTCAGCAGCAGGCGCAGCAGGCGCAGGCGCAGCAGCAGCAGGCGCAGCAGGCGCAGGCGCAGCAGCAGCAGGCCCAGCAGCAGCAGCAGCAGCAGCAGCAGCAGATGGGCATGCACATGATGCAACCATCGGGCGCGGGCCCTCAGTTTAGTTGTTCTATATTTCGAGTCGGATATGCGGTGTGCCGGCATGCCCGGCATGCCCCCCAATGTGAGCAGTTTTTTTTGTATCGAGCCGGGGATATGCGGTATGCCGGCATGCGGTATCTTACGCCCCCAATGTGAGCTTTGCACCGTGATGGCGCCTGGCAAGACGGCCGAACGTTTGCATGGGATCAATTCGGAAGACCATATTGATGAAAACAACCTTCCAAAAGTGGATTATGGATTTCCCTTAACTGATTAGTATGGTCCTCCTGATTCATCCAAAGCTGACATCAAAAGAGTCCAAAGGTACACATGCTACCCTTCCACCCTTCCCATGGAACCCGGGGCAAATCTGAGAAACAATCTATCAGATCGTGGGTTTGTCTAAACGGAATCGGACGCCCTAAGCGGGCAAGGGTTTCCTTTCGGTTTCCCTGTACCGTACTAACTCAAAAAAAGACGCGCCACACGCTATGGGGATTACTCAAGGCAAGGAATAAATGGAACCGGAGATCTTTGCGGGGCGGGACGCTGGCTGACTCGCTCTTTTCTTCTGCACTGGGCTGGGCTGCAGGCCCAAAAGATTCTTCCCTTGGAAAGGATTTGGTCCACTTCTGACGGGTTCTCATTGCGAGTATCGGATGGGCCATCTCTCAATTTCAGAAAAGTGTCCCTACTCGACTCACCAAGTTGGTTCCCACAAGCAAACATGGCTGCTCTTTTCGAGGCAAAAACAGGGCGGCCTCTGACCCTTCAGTAGCATGTCTTGACATTCTTTTGGGGGAATCGCCGATGGGCTCTTCTTTCGCGTTTCGACAAAGCTCGGCGTATTGAGCAATTGTCTCCAACCTGGGCCTTACGCTCTGTGTCTCTGTGCAAGTGTCTTGATCGCCAGTTGCTTCTTTTTTCCATGCACTTTCCCCGAAAGCCAGCAACCGTGACTGAAAAGAACAGCAACTTGGCGATCTCTGTGTGTTGTATTGAAGCAAGGGGCCTGCATCGCCTTCGGCCGTCCAAACTCCGGCCCTTCGAGTACCTATGGGATGCCTTTTGCTTCTGTTTAGCGGAATCCACAAGGTTTCAATCCCATCTCCCCCCCCCAATCCCATCCACAAGGTTCCAATCCCATCCCACAAGGTTCCAAAAAAGAAAGGGGAAGAAGGTGGCTTTACCATTGCCCTTTGGCTTTGCTCAAGCTGAGTGATTCGCTTGTGGAAGTCGTTTGGAGGCTTTGAGTAGACGCCAGCCCCAAACCCCCTTTGGGCCAGTTTGGTCATGTGCTACTCGCTTGGTTCAAGAGGCTCCTGCGGCCCAGTGTTGCTCCGGCTGGGTTTCTTGTAGGGCACGGTTCTTGGGCCACCTAGTTACCTGGTTGGGAGGGGACGATCAGAGGATATGATGGTTTACGGTTTGGAAAAGACACAAGGGGGCTGCGGATCTGATGGCTTCTTCCGGAAAATCTCGGTGTGAAGGTACCCTCCCACCAACATGGAAGTGCACAGACGCCTGCAGAAAGACGACTTGTTCCTCTTGGTTAAAGGGCCTTTTGGCACAAACCCCCATGTTAGGTGGGAGGGTATGTGACCTGCCATGCCTAGGAGCCTGCGGGCAGATGGGCGGGGGCTTCATCATGGCCATGCCAGGGCGGGAGTCGGGGAGTCGGGGAGTCGGGCGCGGCCGGCGGACTTGAGGGGGTCAGTGGCCATGGCGTGGGCAGTGCCCAACAACTTCGGGGCACCACCAGGCAACAAACATCTGCTTGCTTTGGCTGTTGGTGAGTTTTCGGGGCTTGAGTGGAGGTGGTTTGTCGGGGACCCGTTGGTTCCTCTTGACTTGCCTTGAAAAGCAGCTAGAAATGGGAACTACACCCAAACCCGAGCATGTGAATGATGTTCCACAAATTTGGTGTCCACGTCGGCTTGAAATTCGGACCCGTGTGAGACTTGGCTTAGGCCGCTCTTGTTTGCCCTTGTGGTCTCACGGATGGGATTTGTTCCAGACGCTGACACCGCCAGGCTTTCTATGTTGGACCCTGACCAAGCTTGGAAAGGGAACACGAACACACGGTCACTGGGGAGGGGGGGGGGGTAGCATCAGCACTTTTTTTTGAACAACCGTTGGTTGACGGTTTTCTTTTTTGGGGACTTTCAAGGGAGTTACATATTTGAGCAGCCCGGAATTGCCATTTTGAGGTCCATTCAATCCAGGTAAGCAGCGCCCAAACCCCCATTGGCAGTTCTCAGTAGGTGGTTCTGACTACATAAACTTCTTAGTCGAATCCCACGTCAATGGGTTTTGCGTGCTGCTCAGGTGCCTCTTTCTTTTTCTCTCCGGTTCCCCTTGAACAACAGTCGCATAAGTTGTAATTGTTTGAGACATCGCTGAGGGTCGCCCTGGTCAAGTTTCCGAAATTGAGACAAGCTCAGGTGAGCTGCTTAGGTAGCTCGGTTTAATAAGTACCAGGTTTTGATTGCTCAGGCGGTCAATAAAATGGCTGGGCCGTCCCCTTTTTTCTGGCCTTGATCCTCATGACTCAAGGGAAATGGAAGATGGCACTCATAGAATCCATGTAAGTCAATGAGTTGGCATACCAAACATAGCATCCAATCCGGATACACCGGCCAGCCGTTGCCTTTTTTTTCTTCTTCTGCTGGACCATTTAGGAGTTGGTTGCCATCCGGTGCCATCCCCACCTTTTTGGTTGTAAATTCCATCGCGGAAGACGAAGAACTCGAATTTTGTCTCAATCAATTATATGTGTTCAAATAGTACTAAAGACACCTCTAACATTAGAAATTTCACCATTATAGCCCATGTTGATCATGGCAAATCTACTCTAGCAGATAGAATAATTGCACTATGTGGAGGATTAACAGAAAGAGAAATGGTAGAGCAGGTTCTAGATTCTATGCCTCTTGAACGAGAAAAAGGCATCACTATCAAAGCTCAAACTGTTAGATTATTCTTCTCTATCGATGGCAAAGAGTATCAATTTAACCTAATAGACACACCAGGACACGTGGATTTTGCGTATGAAGTTAACAGATCTTTGGCAGCCTGTGAAGGCTCTATTTTATTGATAGATGCATCCCAGGGAATACAAGCGGGGTTCCTGAGAACTTTTTGGAGCCACTTGAGTGAACAGGAACTGAGTTGGAGGATCTAACTGAGACCAGGGTTATACTTGCCGCGTCCTTGTCGCACAAGCGTGTGGCTTCACCATTTCAATTTGTTCCAAAGCAAGCAGGACAGCCCAGTATCGGATGTTGGCGTAGACTTTCTTTTTGAGACAGGGGGTCGCTTCATTTTGAACGCAAGGGGCAGGCAGTCCCCAGAAACTTGTCCCGGCTCCACCGATGCTCTGGCATATTCCGTCGCGCGGAATCTGCGGGGCAGGTGCGGCGGTAATAGCCAGCAGATGCTGCCGCCGCTCAGCAAGGGAAGGAGAGGTCAGGGGTGTTAAATCAGTCACTGACAATGCTCCTCTGAGCAAGTTATGACTTGCTCACCGATCGGGGCTGAACCGATCTCACTCTTGGGTGGTCCTTATTTCCGGATTGTAGTAAACTACCCGATTGGTGGTCCCAGACATTTCCCAGAAACAGCAGGGGGACCACCCAATTTCACCACTTTTTGGGGAAGCGGTGGTTCGGGATATGGGGGACTTGCACATTTCCAGCCACAGCAAGAACCAGGGAGAGTGTTCCATCCGGATATGGCTTCACATTGTGAAGGTGAATCTATGCAATATATGTATAATGTACATATATATATATATATACATATATATATATATACACATATATACAACATACATGCATATGGATACGATACTTATGCGTGTGTGGGTGCTCCCCACAGACGACTCCTTCCCTTTGGCGCGGGGTGCCTCGTTGTCCGAGGCAGCAGATGTTTCAGCAGATGCCCGGAGGAGGGGCCCGTGACCTCAGATTCGTCGAATTTTCGGCTGGGTTTTTGCTTGGTTTAGTTTTTTGGGGTTTGCCGATGTCACCCACCCAAAGTTGGTGGGATCCGTGACTGGGAACGGAACGGAGCTTCAGGATGAAACTCTTTGTTGTTAACTTTGTTCAGGGGCTTTGATTAACAGTGACTGGTGCTATAAGTAACCAAGTAGGAGCAGGTTGAACCAAACTATACAAACATTTGTTCAATCAACTCACTTCGTTGATTGAGTCTTCGGCGAACCTTTCCAGAACGCAACCGCTTCATGGAAGCCCGGGACTTTGCGGAGCCCTCCAAAACCCCTACCCGGCCACCTCTCCACAGAACCCAAGAACCCCTTCGGAACCTTCGCCCGAGCCCAGGCTGGGCGCGGCAACAACTCCCAGGGCATGCCAAGCTGGCACGTGTTGGGAGCGCCTTTGTTGGGGGTGAGCCCCACTTTTTTTGGCACTGTGACTTGGTTTGCTCGATTTTTGGCTACCAAAAAAGAGTCTGAACCCAAAAGCGACCCCTTTGAAGCAACCCCAAAAGTAAAGGCCTCATATTTAGGGTCTTGGCCAAACTCCAGAAAAACACGGACTGCTCAAGCCCTTGTTGGGGTCAAATGGAGCGCCCCCAGTGCCGCTGGTGAAGCATCCGGTCAGACATAGTCATTGTGTGGTGCCATTAAGCAGGTGGTTAAAACCACGGCTCATTCTTTTGCAATCATGCATCATATGCAAATCGGGTGGGTGCCCCATTTTGGTTTAGCGTCTGGGGCAACATCCCCCAATGAATCAGATTTGTTTATATGGAGTGAATGTAGTTCCTACCACCTCCCAAACGATGGCTCCTGTTTCTCCTCCACTAATGCTTATTGAGCCCCACACTCTGCTTAGATTTGTTTCCCCAACAGCTGAACGCTTTGGGGTCTTGAAGTCGATCCCGGGGGGCATCACTTTGTTTTTGATTTTTGTGGTTTCTTTGTGTTTTTTTTTGGAAGGGGGGGGGGGGGGCGCGTTGGTCCGTGCTCAGTCGGCGTTTCGTGCCCTTCACAGCCTGAAGGGTACGACGGGGTACTTGCCGTTGATAGGCGGCGATAAGAGGGATTACATGCCTGTTGCTGGGATCTGGGTGTATACCTCGACTAAAAAACCAAACAAACGGCGGCCAAATGGCACCTGGTGTTTTCCTCCGTTTTTCTATCAGAGGCACCACCAACGATGACATGTTCCTGGGGGTGGAAACTCTTGGAGTCTAGAGCATCTTTTGGTTGCTGAGTTTGATTGGTGGGACGATGCTTGCGGATGAGAACAGGATCCTTCTCAAGTCTACGTTCCCCGGCACGCTGACCACATGAGCGGAAAAGACGCTGTTGCAAGTGGAAAACGGGCAACGTCTGGCACATGTCTGCAAGGCTTCTGAATGTTTGTAAACCGATTTGGGTGTGGGTCAAAATTAAACCACTAGGGGACCGCAGGATTTAGTCCATGTTTCCATTCGCCAGGGCAACCCATTTCGGGGTTACCCTATTTTTGATCACCACAGCCATTTTATAGCTGTTGCAAAGCATGAATCGTGTTACCCGTACTTCGTGACTGCCTCTGGGAGGTCTGCCATACTTGTCTCAAGAACGGTCAGAGGCTACATGGGTATGGGTCAAAATTCACCCACCAGGGGACCAGGGGACCACAGGTTTTAGTTTTTGTTTCCATTTACCAGGGTTCCATTTTGGGTACCCATTTTTGACCCACACCCACATGACACTTGGGGAGGGGCAATTCATGGTTTGGCGACAAGCAAGGACCTATATAAACCGAAGGCTGGTTCAAGCACTTCCACTGGCGGAATCGGACAATTGGGGGGTTACAGCCTTCTCAGTTGAAGGAAGAACCCGAGCGCAGGGGCTCCTTCTCAGATGTGTTTTTTTGGCGACGCCTTTCGTGCGCCAGGCAATCGCAGCCGCAGATGCAGATGGGCCAACAGGGGGGCCAGGGGTGCTGTGCTCAGCCGAAGCTGGAGCGAGTTCCTGGATCGCTCGCCCATGATGTCCTTTGCTAGTATCCCCGATTTCCAACAAAATGGACATGCGTGCAGTGTCGACACGTACAGGGAACTCGCTACTGGCCCGACAAGGTAATACACATCACCGCTGTTACAGGTCTACTCCCCGTAAAACTGATTCCTCCACAACCCCGGGGTGTAGGGGCTAGGTCTGCTTCTTCGAAAGGTTGTTGGAAACCACCAACTATTCGGTTTTGAATGGTGCTTCCTAGTTGACCTGTTCAAGATGGGTTTCATTGGTTCGTGCCGAGGTTTTTTTTTGAGGGGTTCTTAAACAAAAGGGCTACCACACACATGTGGCGCTCCCACGTTTCTCGGCTTCATGGAGGCTGCCGAGAGGTTGGTTCTCGGTTTCTTGCATCCGAGCCCAGCGTGGGCAAACCGAGTGGACGTGCGCCGCGTGGACGGGTCCACGGCTGCTGCATCTACCTTTTCACCTCGGCCAGGGAAATGGCTCCAAAAGGAAGCTGGTTGAAACCTCAGGACCCCCCAGCAAAAAACGTTGGAATTTCCATGTGAATTGGTGGGGCTCGCGGACTCCACCCCAGCCGGGAGTTGAGTTGATGCATCGAGGCAGATGGGCTGCACCCCGATGATGGGCGGCCAATTTATGGCCATGTTGGGCGCCCCGGGCTGGGAAGGCAATGGAGTCAGAAGTCTAGGGGTTGATTCTTTTCCATTCTTTTTAACCGTCGTTCTTTTCCAAAACCAGCTATTTTCCCTGGTTTTCTGGAAAGAAGAATCCTGGAAAGAATGGGGAAGATATCTCTAGAAGAAGGGTATCTGGGAGTGGCTCAAGAATAGGAATCGGTCCAAGAATGGAAGGTAGACTAAACCCAGCCGTTGAACTCTGAGCCACACACACACACACATGTGTCAAAGGGGAACCCATTTAATGTTGACCCCATATTAATCAAGCAACCAGCTTATTAATAGGGGGGTGCTTCTCCCTGGTTGAAATGTGTGGAATCATCTCTTTTGGAGGGCCCCGCCCCCCCATTATAATAACTGGTTGGTTGACTAATCTGGGGTCAACATTAAATGCGTGGTTTCCCTGTTCCTTTTTGTTTTTTTTGGGGATTCGGACGCCCAAGCCTCATGGCTCGAGAATGGCTTGGCTGTTCGGGTTGGCTGAGTCAGAAAAGGTGAACCCCATGAGAAAAGGGGCTTGAAACCGAACGGTTACCAACAACTTACAAAGTCAAGTACCGTTCGGGTCTTCTTTCTGCGCGGAGATTTTTGGAAGGGGCTGGCAACCTCTGCCCCTTCGATTTGTCAAATCATTTGAACACCCCAAAGGAGTTTCCAATTCCCTCACTTCCAGAGTTCCTGGACTTTTTCAAACTTTTCTTGGGATTGGACCATTTTGGGAAGCTCTTATTGGGATTGGATCATTTCGGGAAGCGCAGAGTTCGGTTACTTTTTCGGACCAACCCACGTCAGCGAGTTCCACCCGTTTCGGTGGCTGCCGTGAAGCCGTCCAAAGGGCCGGAAGCGGCGGGCTTCGATTGAAGCAGCCAGGGCTAGTGGACAGGGCCCATTGGTCGGAACAAAAGGGATTGGTCATTTGGTGCCCACCCGAAAGCGCCCAGGGTTTGGTCATTCTTTCGTAAGGCGAAAAAACGTTGAAACATTCTTGTTGAAGGTTCCCCCTGCAGAGGGTCCACAGTCTGGTTGCCCAAGCCCCCTCCTGAACACGTGGCTTCTGGCTCCACAAAGCCTGGGAGATGTTTCCACAGAGCAACTCGGAACCAGCAACCAGGTGCTGGCGTTTTTAGGGTGCTTGAGAGGCGGTTGAGCAGCAACCACCAAGTTTTTGCCACTGAATCGTCACATCTTATTGGCATTCAGCTTGAGTTGTGGCTCCCACCTGTTCATGAGGGTCCCCATTTCCTGCTCCAAGATCAACTCTCAGACCCTCTTAAAACTGAATCTCCTTTGGCTTACTGAAGCGTAAGTGTGACATATGTGTATTTGGGGCTTCGCTTTTCAAGGGACACCTAGGAGATCCCACGTTTTTCACGGGAAACCCGGGGGAACCTTCGTTTTTGAAGAGAAACCCGGGGGAACCCACCTTGGAGTTTTTGGGTCACCCATGAGCGCCCCACAAGCACAAGCGAATGAGTCGCCGTTTTTTTTTTGAACGCTGAGGCCCGGGAACATGGGCGGCCAGGGGAACGTGGGCATGGCCGGGGGCCGAGGCGTCAACTGGCCCCATGGATCTATAGGTAGATATGGGGTGTCAAGAAAAAGAAGGGCTGGGACCGGGTCCCGAAGGGTCTTTTTCTTTTTATGGGGCCCCCACAGTTCTGCTTTTTTTTTGGGGGGGAGGGGGGGGGGGTTCCCTAAACTCACAAAAACAACAAGACGGTCCCCTCCAACAAAAAGGGCTTCCCTGAAGCGCCCGATATTTCTCTGTTGCCATGGAGTGAGCTTCCGTTTTCTGTGCGACTGTTTCCCGGGCACAGGACTTTTGTTCGGGGAAAGGGACTTCCACTAGGCTGCGGTACCAAGATTCCGACGAGCCAGCGAATCACTTGCGATGTGCAGACCAGCCTGGTTCTGGATGTGTTTCCAGCGCACGCAAGGAAGCTCTGTTGATACGTTGTTTTCCAAAAAAAGACAAGCTGCTCATTTTGAGTGACACAGACAGACGCAAACACCCTGTATCCCGAAAGGTCCCAGAACTGAGGCCATTTTTGGTGCCGAGGAGAGTGCAGCTACTGTAATGTGCTTCTGCCTGGAGTTGACGGAAACTCTGTCTGGCAAATGCAGCGGACAGCACATTCTCCCCTTAAAATTCGGCAGAAGGGGGCCGATTTCTCCGCAACTGGTTGTGTGCTTTGAGTTCCTTGTTCATCTGTGGGAGAGTGGCATGTGAGCAAGATGGTATAAGTCATTCATTCACCTGACCACAAAGAAGCTGCAAGTAGTGAACTTTCATCATAGAACGGTCACTGTTTTGCGTCACCAATCGCTTTGCGCTTGAGCCATGTGCGTGCCAAGGGGTAAGCAACGACTCGGCAACGACCCAACTCTCACAAATGGCTCCCAGAAGTTGCCTCCGCGGGCGGGAGGGGTACCCTATCATATGGCCATGGGTAAAAATCCCGTACCCCCAGTGAGCATCCCAATCCCGACTAAAATGAAGTAAAATGGGTGGCTAGATGCATTTGGTTCCCAATACAAGTTTTAAGGCTAGCACGCATAGGGCGAAATGTGTTTAACCAATCCCATGCTAAAAGGAGCCCAAACCAAAGGAGGTTGACTCGTACTGCGGATCGACGAAATCCTGCACCGCCTAAGAAACCCTGGTTTCCGATGATTCTGCCGTAAATACCAACACATACTGGTTTCCCATGGCTTCATTTCGTGGCGAAAAACGGTTTTCGCAGCCGACAGCAGGAGTTCACATGCCCAACGTCCCGGTTCGAACGTCCTCTGGGAGCCTCCACAAGCCTCGGCGAGTCGGCGAGTCGAGGCTGGGATGGGTGCCATGCCCAAGTTCGGAGCGCAGATGGTGCCCATGATGGCCTCCGCCCCAGGGCTGCAGGGATTGGGAGGAACCGAGCCGCAGGGCGGTGCTTTTTTTTTCTTTCTCGGATGGGACGATGGGACGGTGAGCCGAGCGCATGGCACCCGCTTTTTGTTGTTGGGGGGGACGAGTGGGTGCTCTCCCAGGTTTGAGGGCAGGGATCGTTTTTTTTGTTGGGGTTTGCAGGGGTTTCTGAAGGATGTGGGCTTCAACTTCCAGCGGATTTTTTGGGGTGAGGACTTCGGCTTCCTCGTGTCCAAACAAAAACTCACCATGCCTCAAGCCCCGAGGCGGGACTATCATCCCTTGCGTCTCTGTGCATTTTCCCTGGGGGGGTGTTGAGTGGATCTGGGCAGATCACGCACGAGGAGGCCACGCCAAATGATTTTGGGGTCGGTGAACCACACCAACTGGCCTGGGATTACGGGAGCCGTTGTTTCTCGAGCGTTTTATGGTCAGGTGTTCGCGGAACACCCAAAAGGCCCCCGTGCACTTTCATTTGAGGAAGGGTACTCACATTCACCCTGTCCTAGAGAGAGAAGCGCGCATCCAACTAATTAGTTTGAAATGCGCAGAAAAGCAAGTGGGTTCCTATTGGGTGGGGCAGGTTGGAGGGTTCCAGGAGGTTCTGGGCCTGGGGTAAGGACCGTTGCTGATCCTTCCGACTCTTTTTTGGAGTTGAGCCGGGAGGAAAGCCGATGTTTTCAAGACACATGTACCATTCTTGGGCCTGGCACTTGCTCGTTTCTTCGGGTTCCAAACATTTCCTTTGGCGAAACGCGGTTTCTTGCGGGTTGGGCTAGGAAGCCTTGGACACTCTCTCACCGTGGGGAGGGGTCTCCGCTTCTACTTTCCCCCTAGTGTAATTCAACACATGAGACCAGCTCTTACTCACTTCCAGAGTTCCTAAACTTAAACTTTTTGGGTGGACTATTCTGGGACCCCAAAAGTTTGGTTATCTTTTCTGACCAATCCACTCAGGCAAGCGAGTTTAACGGGGGACGCTTTGGACGTGAGGTGCGCCATTGACATGTCCCCGGGCCTACAAACCTCGACGGGTCACAACAAACCAATCCACATTCAAACTTTATTATTTCGATTCTAATCGTTATTGTTTTTATTATTATGATTCATAATTGTTGTTATTATTATTATTGTTATTAGTATTATCATTATTATCATTATTATTAGTAGTATTAGTATTAGTATTATTATTATTGTTTTATTATTATTGTTGTTATTATTATTATTAGTATATATTATTATTATTATTATTATTATTATTATTATTATTATTATTGTTATTATTATTATTATTATTATTATTATTATTATTATTATTATTATTATAATTATTATTGTTATTGTTATTGTTATTGTTATTATTATTATTATTATTATTATTATTATTATTATTATTATTATTATCATTATTATCATTATTATCATTATTATCATTATTATTAGTAGTATTAGTATTTGTATTATTATTATTATTGTTACATTATTATTTTGATTATGATTATGATTATTATTATTATCATTATTATTATTATTAATATTTTTAGTAGTAGATTTATTTTTCAAGAACCACCTTTATCGTGTCGGCGACTCGTGAAGCATCTCCCGATCGTGGGGGGATAGCCTGGTCTCGTGGAGAAGTTCTGATCCAGCCAGATGTGGTGTCCATAAGCAGGTCCAGTGAGCGTAAGCTTCACCTATACAAAGATTGTTTTGGTTGGCCAAAGTTCCTTGGATTCCCCTTTGAAATGTCTCGAAGTGAGAAATTGGCAATCCCTGTTTGCGTCAACCGCTCGCCGCAAGCGACCGGGGCCAGTCCAGCTTTTAGTCGGTTTTTTGCTCAACGCGGGCAACGAGAACCTCCTTTTCAGGGAAAGAAGTCAGAGGGACCTCCTCCATGTTTGTAGAACCCTTTAAGGGCATCAGCTTTGTTTCCACACACACACACACCCTTGCAGGGTTTCCGGGGAACATGGGAAGGAATAAGACATATGGCACAGGGCACCCCTTCCGCCTGTGGCCCGTTCTGGCGCTGGAATGGATCTGTCAGCCATGACGTCAGATGTGGGTCAAATGGAAAGGCTCACGAAAAGTGCAGGAACTGTTTTCAAAGTCCAAGCTTCGATTACAGAAGGAATCAAGATGTTATTTTCCCATCTCCAAAAACTTCGCTTACACAGGTCTTTTCAAGGTCCAAATTTCGCTGAAAAGACACCCTTGGAGATGTTTTCCCCCACCGCCCTCTTCGTTTCACCGCTCCGCGCCGCATCTTCTCGAGTCCTCGAATTTTTTTGGGATCGCTGAGGTGCAGGGGCAGTTCCCGCAAGGCTTCATGCCGCAGGCGGAGAGAACTGGGGCAGTTCCCGCAAAGCCTGGGCATGTGAAGGTTGGTAAGGGACAATCCCAATCAGTATTTGGTAAGCAGACTATTTTTTCTTCTTCTTCTTTGCAGGGGTTCTGGGTAGAGCATTTTAATACCAGGCTTGATTTTTTCAAGTGAGCCGGAATCAAAGAACCAACACCTGTGGATTTGAAGGTGGGGGGCTGTTCAAAATCCTTGTTGAATTGGTCTTAGAGCGAAGCCAGAAGGAAGCAAACAGCTTTGGACAAACCTTGGAAAAGTAATGAGACAAAAAAAGGATCCCTGAGAAATCAGCCAACGTGAAACCAGCTGACGCTTATATAGTAGTGGACAGTGCCCCCCCAAGCAGAAATAGAAGCAGATCTCCACTGGATGGTCTGAGATCGAGCCCTCTTTGAGATATCGGGCAGGAACAACTGGCTCGAAAGTTCAACGACAACTCACCCCAGTTACGGATCTGAACCTAGGCGTCACATGAAGCCCATTCAGCACCCCCTAGTGTGTGTTTGCGCGCGCCTTTGTGTGTGTGTGTGTGTGTGTGTGTGTGTGTGTTTGTTTGTTTGTTTGTTTGTTTGTTTGTTTGTTTGTTTGTGTGTCTGCGCTTTTTTTTTTTGTGAGGGTACGTACCTTTTCAGCTTAAGGGGAAACATCCAAGAGGAACACCATTTTTAGCTTTCGACACATACCATAGTAAGCTTTCACTGGCACCGGCCCCAACCCCAAGCCCAAATGCAGGGTGGCTGAGCAATCCATCTTATACGTAAAGGCTGGGTGCCTTTTAGGCCGGGTTTTAAATTATCTCAAAGAAGGAGCCCGTTTTTAGGTTAGATGACTATGGCCCACACATCTCAAAGGTATTGTGGCTTCTCCGCTTCTTGAGCCTGCGACTGTGCAGATGAAGATTGACTCGTGCACGAGCTTGATTACTCGATTGGATGCCGTTATTGCCAGAATTAGTGGCTGACTTCGGTGCTTTTTTCTTCTGTTTTGACGCTTGATGACTGAGTTGTGCCCATGGGGCGATTTTGTTGCTTTGATTCTTCGTTTGTTTCACACCCTGGCCAATGCGCCACATCGCTCGAACAGAGACAGAAGACTATGGCCACACACACACATACTTTCACAGTAGTTCTGGCCAGAAGTTGTTGCCACTCGACCTCAGCTTGCCACCTTCCTTCCCCGCGACGAGGAGGTTCCATTTGGGAGGTTCCGGGGCTGTAGATACTCCTTGATGTGGGCGACCGTGCTGCAGAGAAGGATAGTTTTTGTTTTTTTTTTTCTCAAAAATACAAACCATAATAGGTTTCTCTTCTGGCGGGTTTCTCCTTTTTCCGCAGGTCCAGCGCTCGTCTCGCTTCTCGTCACGAACTCACCCCCTAAGCGAGTGGTTCTCTGCCGCGCCAGGGCATGCAGGGCAACGTGCAGGGCATGCCGGGGCACCTGTTTTTTGCAAAAGCGGCCGGGGATGGTTGCAAGTTGGTGAAGGGGGAAGCCTTCCAGGGCTCTATTCTAGTTATAGGTGCTTTTGGTTCAATAGACTTGAGAATGACAAAAGGTCTCTCTGACAAGGAAACAACTGTCACATGGTTTGCTGGGAGTCAAAAGACTGGCCGGCAAAAAAGGGCCACATGTTTGGTTCGAGAGGCGGTGGTTGTGAACCCGAGCTTTTTGGTGGTTGTGCAACAAACACGGATTGATTGTTTCCCCCCCCGAAAAAAAAAGAGGAAAAAACACAGAGCAGCTGCACGAAGCGTCATCAAAGCGTGTCCCTCAACTGGCGCAGCCTGTAAGCTTGGGTTTGGGCCCTTGTTGAGTTCGCACACGCGAGTCGCACCAATTGTTGCTTTTGTTCAGTTCCACATGGGAGCCTTCTGCCGGGCAGGGGTTTGCTTACACATGCAGGGTTGACATTGCTGCATCGAACAAATCGCCCGCGCGAAAGCTTGTGCCATGTGTGCGACGGGGCTTGCTAGCGCCACAAGCACTTGCGCGCTTTTCGGCGCAAACACTGCTACACCGTGAGGACTGCTCCAAAGCAGACCGGCCCGCCAACGGAGAATCCCGGTGTGTACACCATTGTTCCTCGCAAGTAGTGGTTTGGGGACTCCGTGCCTGACAGGCTGTGCAACCATTAGATCAGGGCGTACAACTGTCTGTCCAGGCAAGTAGTGGATTGGAAGCAGTGCAAACCTGGAGGATGAACCCTGCCTTGCCCTCACCCCTCACTGAGGGTTGGGGGAATCCGATGCTTGTTTCCGCATCCAGAAATGAAGAGTTAGGAGCGGATCGCTGGCTGCTGGCCCCCTCCCGGCTTTTGACCTTCAGTCGGCTGCCGTGTTAGTATTCCTCCTCCAACCGCAGAATCTTGGGACTTCAGCTAAAACCCCTGCCAGTGGAGCTCCCTTGTGCCCTTCCCGATTCTTACTTCAAGAGGCGCAAGGCGGGGTACTTGGCACATAGCAACCATGCTGCAAAACCATTGCCGTGGTTGTAAGTCCCCGTTCGGTGGGTACACATGATAACTACTGCACGCCTCCCCAACAAGCGCTGTAGCCTTCCGAAGCAGGTTTCTTGGTCCCGAAGCCAACGCTGCGAGGCGGCCGCAGATTTTCAGCTTGGCGAAGACCAATATGAGCTTCGCATGAGGCATAGTCTAAGTTTTACCCCTTGTATCGGAGGTATCCTTCATAGCTCCGGCAGACATACCGATCGAACATGCCCTGTCGACGGTTTGACGCTTGAGGCAGCCTGGCATGCAGGGCGGCCAAGAGGGGATGATGCAGCGCCTCCGGCGATGCTTACTTTCGACTTGAGTCACAATCAAAACCCGGTATTAAACTGGTCTACCCAGAACCAGGCTTCAAGAATTTAGAAGGCGGCCGCAGCTATTTCTGGTTGGGATCGTCCCTTACTAACCTTCATCTACCCGGGTTTTGATTGTGACTCACTTGGTGCAAGGAGGCTGAACAACCCAACTCATGTTCTGGACGCTCCCTCTCTGAGTTCAGTCAGTCCTTGACCGATCCTTGTGCACCGCGAATATGTCGACTGTGAAGATTTCTGTGGCCGGTTTGTAACTTGCCCAGATGTAGCAACTTTTACCGTCAAGGAAGCCAGAAGGGGATAGATACTTTGGTAAGAGAGATATTCGGAATCATTTTTCCTCAAAGGACAGGCCTTTGGTGCCATACGGACAGGCGGACTCAGGGCCCTCGACAATAGGAATGAAGTCTGCAGCGAGCTTGTGGTAAAGCGAGGTCTTCGACGAAGGGCCGGAGATTCCTTGATTCCGGTTAGTAATCATATTCTGGGATAAGAATCCTGTCTGAAGAATGGTAGCTTAATGGCAATGTCAATCCATGATTCTAATCACAATCTGCACTGTATGATTTCCGTTGGCACAAATTATGAGTTCTGGTAGTCAGACTCGATGCCTGCTCGACGGCTTGACGATTCAGTGGCGAGAGCCAGGATGCAGAATCAGATGATGCAACAGGGCGCGGCCCCCAGCGATTAGTTCATCAGGCGAGGTTTGGGTGAGTGGCCGAGGAAATCCCTGTCAAGCGACAAAAAGCAGTCGAAGGGATGGGACATGAGGGGAATCCTGCTTTGGCATCCCGCAACGGGTTGCTTTTCACGACCATGCACCCCAGACTTGAGTACAAGGCAGCCTGGGCCTGCCAGATGTATTTTCCTCTCGGGAGCAGTTCCTCCGAGAAGGCACATCTTTGAAGGCGCATGAGTTGGCTCTTCATGTCTACTACGCCACCATGTTCAACGGGCTTATAGTGAGGTCCACATAGCCAGCTGACTGTTTTACCCGGGTGTCGGCTTTGTAGCTTGTTAGGTATTGTAGCCCGTTTTGTCATGGCATTGGGGTGTTTTTGGTTGCCCTGAAATGGGTTGACAAACGACATGACTCACCAGCAAACATGGTCAACCCCAAACAGAATTGTACGAACTGATAGGTGGTTGTCCCATTATTCTTCGGGTTTCATCCATCCCAACTGGTGCAGGATGTTGTCCATCCACAGTATCAAACAGTTTTAAAGTATCCCCCCAAACCCATTCTAATGATTTTGCCCTTCCAACTCAGACAAACACTGGAGTTTCAACTTTCGGCCCAGCCCAAGCCTCGGCCTTGCGCCCGCGCCGGCTTTGGACTCCTGCCATGCAGACCTTCGGGCCCTCCGATGAATTCATATGGCTGTGTTTTGTTTGTTCGAGCCCCACCCGTGCGAGTGTGGCTGAAAATGGAGCTTTGGGGGCCCAAAAGGGCCGAGCAAGAGCCATTTTAGAGCCTCCGCGAGGTCCAATGCAGGGCTGCGGGTACCGCGGCGTGGGCCTAGGGGCCAAAAAGGGGCTCGGAGACCTCGGGGTTTGTTGGCGAACCCCGTTGCCGGTTGTTGCGCTTTTTTGTTGTTGTTTTTTTGTATTGTGGAGTGTTCTTTTAGATCAGGAGAGGTTGGGAGAGCCACTGAAAAAAGTTTTTTTGGGGCCTTCCAATTGGATCACAGAAGTGGGCAGTTCCATCCTTGGCATGGGACACTTCGCTCAACATGGGGCGGCCAACATGCGGCGGTGTGTGTTTGTGTGTTTCACACATATTGCGCAACGCCTTGTGGATGATATAGGGAGCCAAACGAAGCATGCTCGTTGTTGGGGCCAAGTTTCTGTGGGACACCCACATGGGCAGGTCGGCGTGAACACCGACCCCTCCAGATTGTTGGTGACTCATGTTGGCTTCTGGCTGTACGCTGAACCGGGCCCCAGTTTTGACGCAGCCACACAGTGACACCCGACTATTCCTAGCTTCCTAGGTCCGGTTTTACCATTGAACGAGCAAATGCAAAGGATGCCGTCGAGAGGGAGCCAGAGGCAACTTGGGGCGTGTTGAGCCACACGGCCTCGTTTGGGGGCGTCATGGCAGGAGTTGCTGGTCGGAGAGAGTGAAGCTATGTGCATTCCGTTGTGTTCAGTTCCATGTGCAGAGTCTTCAGCCGAGTTCTGCAATCAAAGGCAGCAAGGCAGGGCAACTGGGCAACTGTTTATTCCCGCGCAAGCGGCTCCTTTTGGGTTCCATGTCAGATTTCTGTCAGCCATTGTGCTCCAACAAGTGCACAGGCCCTCTTCCGGAAAGGGAAACAGCCTGTGCACTCCCTCTCCAATGTTGGTGGGCGGCACCTGGATTCTCTTTCCAGGCTGCGTCATCACGCATCTTGAGGCGGTTTGGTGAGGTGATGTCTGAAAAGGAAAATCATAGAGGCCCCCCCCCCCCCTCCGGGGCGCACTCTTTGTGGATCCAGCGTTCCAAGGGGCGACGCTGCATGATTTGTATGCTTCGATCTGCCCATCCATCGATAAATATCCAGCAGATGTTCTGGTCTTGAGATAGCTCCAGTGGGCAGCGGGGACATGATGAACAATGCTTATGCCTCACGTGACTGCATTGAATCCTGCGTCACGTGTGGAAGAATCGGTAGTAGTAGTTGCCGATGACATTGGGAGTTGTTGCCTTTCGGGGGTGGCGATTTGTTTGTTTCCATTCTGACGAAAAGGGCACCTCAGAAAAGACATCCATTGAAGGCCTTTCGTCACCGGCTTACTCAGAATGGAGAGCTGGGTTTGGGAGACCAGCTGGCCTGTCCAACGCAGGATGCGCCTGGGAACAAGCCGAAACCCTTCCGGAACCCTTCAAAGGCAACCCGAGCCCAAGCCCAACCTAGCCGTGGGTCAACACCAATGGGATCCCATGTTGGGGTAGGTGCACCACCCATTTGAGTCTAGTTTAGTGGGGATTGGGATGTTCACTGGGGGAACGGGGTTTTGACCCATAGCCTATCTGGGCAACAACCCCAACGCGTTCAGCTGACCCGAGGCCCCGGCGAGTAGCGACTCGCCGCCCTTTGGAAGAGACAGGCCTGTGCTGGGGAGAGGCAAATCAACAGCGCCCATTTGAGGAGGCGCTAGCTGCCTTATATGACCGGGAAAGCTAATGGAGGTGGTGCTACCTGCATGTTGGACCATGAAGCCGAGGAAACACCTAAGCATCATTTTAGTAGAGCCAAATGCGCTCAAAGGGCACCTTCAAGGCACTGCAAAACGTCCCAACCTGGACCATAGGTGTCGTGTTCTTGCAAAAACCCTGATGGAGGAAGCATAGAGCTGGCTTTTGGATTCTTATGAGCGTTCCCTGGTAGACTGTTTTACAATGGGGTGGGTGAAAGTAGATGGCACAATTCCCTCCTTTGGTTTTAGTCATCTTCTGCCCTTGCCCAAATAGAGGGAATTGCGCCATCCTCTTTCACCTTGCTTTCATAATGCATTCTCCATACTAACAATTTGGGGACTATTCAGGGCTCAGCGTTGGCAGGTTTGGACTCAAGTTTCCTCTGGCTGAACCCTGTGAGCCAGAACTGGATGCCTTGTGAAAGACAAAATGTGTCTCACTCACCTATCTAATCTATCTGATCTCATCTCATCTAATCTAATCTAAATCCTATCTTATCTTGTCTTGTCTTGTCTTATCTTATCTGACCTTACCTTATCTTATCTTATCTTAACTATCTATCTATCTATCTATCTAATCTATCTATCTATCTATCTATCTAATCTATCTATCTGTCTATCTATCTATCTATCTATCTATCTATCTATCTATCCATCTATCTATCTATCTATCTATCTATCTATCTATCTATCTATCTATCTATCTATCTATCTATCTATCTATCTATCTATCTATCTATCTATCTATCTATCTATCTATCTATCTATCTATCTATCTATCTATCTATCTATCTATCTATCTATCTATCTATCTATCTATCTATCTATCTATCTATCTATCTATCTATCTATCTATCTATCTATCTATCTATCTATCTATCTATCTATCTATCTATCTATCTATCTATCTATCTATCTATCTATCTATCTATCTATATCTATCTATCTATCTATCTATCTATCTATCTATCTATCTATCTATCTATCTATCTATCTATCTATCTATCTATCTATCTATCTATCTAATCTATCTATCTATCTATCTATCTATCTATCTATCTATCTATCTATCTATCTATCTATCTATCTATCTATCTATCTATCTATCTATCTATCTATCTATCTATCTATCTATCTATCTATCTATCTATCTATCTATCTATCTATCTATCTATCTATCTATCTACCTATCTATCTATCTTATCTATCTATCTATCTATCTATCTATCTATCTATCTATCTATCTATCTATCTATCTATCTATCTATCTATCTATCTATCCTATCTATCTAATCTGTCTAATCTATCTATCTATCTATCTATCTATCTATCTATCTATCTATCTATCTATCTATCTATCTATCTATCTATCTATCTATCTATCTATCTATCTATCTATCTAATCTATCTATCTTATCTTATTTTATCTTATCCTATCTTATCTTATCTTATCTTTTCTTTTCTTTTCTTTTCTTTTCTTTTCTTTTCTTATCTTATCTATCTATCTACCTAATCTATCTATCTATCTATCTATCTATCTATCTATCTATCTATCCATCTATCTATCTATCTATCTAATCTATCTATCTATCCATCTATCTATCTATCTATTTATCTATCTATCTATCTATCTATCAAATCTATCTATCTAATCTATCTAATCTGTCTATCTGTCTATTCTATCTTTCTATCTATCTGTCTATCTATCGATCTATCGATCTATCTTTCCATCTATCTATCTATCTATCTATGTATGTATGTAATCTATCTATTTATCTATCTATCTATCTATGTATGTATCTAATCTATCTAATCTATCTAATCTATCTAATCTATCTATTCTATCCAATCTATCTAATCTATCTAATCTATGTAATCTATCTAATCTATCTAATCTATCTAATCTATCTAATCTATCTAATCTCTCTAATCTATCCAATCTATCTAATCTATCCAATCTATCTAATCTATCCAATCTATCTAATCTATCGAATCTATCTAATCTATCTAATCTATCTAATCTATCTATTCTATCTAATGTATATCTATCTATCCATCTATCTATCTAATCTAATCTAAATCTAGTCTAATATAATCTAATCTAATCTAACCTAATCTAATCTAATCTAATCTAATCTATCTGATCTATCTAATTTATCTATCTATCTAATCTATCTAATCTATCTAATCTATCTAATCTGTCTAATCTATCTAATCTATCTAATCTATCTAATCTATCTAATCTATCTATCTAATCTAATCTAATCTAATCTAATCTAATCTAATCTATCTATCTATTCAGTCTATCTAATCTATCTAATCTATCTAATCTATCTAATCTATAGATCTAATGTATATCTATCTATCTATCTATCTAATATATCTATCTATATATCTACTCTATCTATCTATCTATCTATCCTAATCTATCTATCTATCCTAATCTATCTATCTATCTATCTATCTATCTATCTATCTATCTATCTATCTATCTATCTGTCTATATCTATCATATCTATCTATCTATCTATCTATCTATCTATCTATCTATCTATCTATCTATCTATCTATCTATCTATCTATCTATCTATCTATCTATCTATCTATCTATCTATCTATCTATCTATCTATCTATCTATCTATCTATCTATCTATCTATCTATCTATCTATCTATCTATCTATCTATCTAATCTATCTATCTAATCTATCTATCTATCTATCTATCTATCTAATCTATCTATCTATCTATCTGTCTTATCTTATCTTATCTTATCCTATCTTATCTTATCTTATCTTATCTTATCTTTTCTTTTCTTTTCTTTTCTTTTCTATTCTTTTCTTTTCTTTTCTTATCTTATCTATCTATCTATCTATCTATCTATCTATCTATCTATCTAATGTATCTATCTATCCATCTATCTATCTATCTATCTATTTATCTATCTATCTATCTATCAAAACTATCTATCTAATCTATCTAATCTGTCTATCTGTCTATTCTATCTTTCTATCTATCTGTCTATCTATCGATCTATCGATCTATCTTTCCATCTATCTATCTATCTATCTATCTATCTATCTATGTAATCTATCTATTTATCTATCTATCTATCTATGTATGTATCTAATCTATCTAATCTATCTAATCTATCTAATCTATCTAATCTATCTATTCTATCTAATCTATCTAATCTATCTAATCTATGTAATCTATCTAATCTATCTAATCTATCTAATCTATCTAATCTATCTAATTTATCTAATCTATCCAATCTATCTAATCTATCCAATCTATCTAATCTATCCAATCTATCTAATCTATGTAATCTATCTAATCTATCTAATCTATCTAATCTATCTATTCTATCTAATGTATATCTATCTATCCATCTATCTATCTAATCTAATCTAAATCTAGTCTAATATAATCTAATCTAATCTAACCTAATCTAATCTAATCTAATCTAATCTAATCTATCTGATCTATCTAATTTATCTATCTATCTAATCTATCTAATCTATCTAATCTATCTAATCTATCTAATCTATCTAATCTATCTAATCTATCTAATCTATCTAATCTATCTATCTATTTAGTCTATCTAATCTATCTAATCTATCTAATCTATCTAATCTATCTAATCTATCTAATCTATCTAATCTATCTAATCTATCTAATCTATGTAATCTATCTAATCTATCTAATCTATCTAATCTATCTAATGTATCTAATGTATATCTATCTATCTATCTAATATATCTATCTATATATCTACTCTATCTACCTATCTATCTACCTATCTATCTATCTATCCTAATCTATCTATCTATCTATCTATCTATCTATCTATCTATCTATCTATCTATCTATCTATATCTATCTATCTATCTATCTATCTATCTATCTATCTATCTATCTATCTATCTATCTATCTATCTATCTATCTATCTATCTATCTATCTATCTATCTATCTATCTATCTATCTATCTATCTATCTATCTATCTATCTATCTATCTATCTATCTATCTATCTATCTATCTATCTATCTATCTATCTATCTATCTATCTATCTATCTATCTATCTATCTATCTATCTATCTATCTATCTATCTATCTATCTATCTATCTATCTATCTATCTAATCTATCTAATCTATCTAATCTATCTAATCTATCTAATCTATCTAATCTATCTAATCTATCTAATCTATCTAATCTATCTAATCTATCTAATCTATCTAATCTATCTAATCTATCTAATCTATCTATCTATTTAGTCTATCTAATCTATCTAATCTATCTAATCTATCTAATCTATCTAATCTATCTAATCTATCTAATCTATCTAATCTATGTAATCTATCTAATCTATCTAATCTATCTAATCTATCTGTCTATCTATGTATCTATTGTAATCTAATCTAATCTAATTTAATCTAATCTATCTATCTATTTAGTCTATCTATTCTATCTCTTCTATTTATGTAAACTAACCTATCCTAGCCTAACCTAGTCTATTCCAATCCAATCCAATCTAATCTAGTCTAATCTAACCTATCTATCTATATGTTTTTATGCTATGTATGTAACCCAGTTGGAGTGCCACCCCGGTCCCAACCACTGCTTTTCGGACTTGGGGTGTTGGACATGGGAAACAGCGGTTGTTGGTACTTACTCTTTCATATACGTGCATATTATACATATATATATATATTCATTGCTTTGAGATATGCAAGCACAGGGAGTTTTGGTTGGGTCTCCTCCCACCAATCAACACGGAACCTGCCGTTCGGGTGTCCATATACAAGCCACATGGTCCAAACCAGGAGCCTCTTGTCAGGTTCCACGTGTGAATTGGTGGCAGCCCACTTGCCATTGTAAGTCCCAGAAGTCTGGAGGCCCAGGGTTGCGAACCACTTGGTCTGTCCCGCGGGGCACTTTGGGTTAACATGGATGAGGACTGGGTCCTGGTTTGGACGACTCTCCGCTAGAAACGGGGGGGGGGTTTTTGTCAGTGGAGAGGGCAGGCTCTTGTTGGCTTCCCTTTTGTCGCTGCGTGCCGCGGAAAGTCCCAGGTTTTCGCCCCCCCCAAACGGAAGCGGTCAGAAATTTCGCGCAGGCGAGCGAGCGCTGTGGCGGGTGCGCGTTAGACGGGGCGCCTGAGCCGTTCGGCTGAATCCGCGCGGCACATAATCGGGCGCGGAAGCGCGCACATTCGTCGGCGCTCCAATGGCAGTGTCAAGTGCTTCCAATCCTGAGAATTCAAGGATTGGAGAACCACAATCTGAGACGAAACCAGCCGACTCCTGAACCTGAACCTGTACCAACTGGCTGGTTTTGAAGGCAAACCGAAGGGGCCCATTTCCTATTTTGAGCCGCGTCACGCCTTTACAAGTATGGCTTGCCCCCCAAGAACGTGATTCCGTTTTTTTCTCTCTTGGAGGTGTGTCAACCTGTTTTCCCCAAGGATTCCTTGCAAGCAGAGGAGATGCGGGAGATGTGGTGCTCGGGCCGTCTGTTTTCTTTTGCGCAGCTAGGTGAACAAAACTCACGGGTATGATTACTGAGGTTGGAGACCCTGAAACCTGGTGGATGTTTGCGTCAGTTCCCATCTGAGGTCCATCCAACACCCCCCACACAAAACGCCAAGGATGGGGTTGGGACCAACCCCCATAAAGAAGGTTTGGGTTGAGACCCAAGAAGTGGGGATCGCGTATAAAAACCTCATGTCTACGATTTTTCTACGATGTCTACCCACAACTCCCCCAAGAAATGCTGAAAGTGGCAGGCTACTTGGTAGGTAACCGTGATGCTAGCTCGCTTACCATGAATTGTCCCCTAGTGGGTTATAACCATGCGTACTAACTACTAGGCGGGTATAAATAGGGTCACTCTGCGTGAAAATCGAAAGCATCCCTAGTGGTGCGCCCCCATCCGTTTGGTCAAGGGCAATTCGTCGTTTCTTGCCATTACAAGCTTCTCGATGGTCCCTCCAGCAGGACCGTCGGGTAAAGGCCAGGGTACTTGGGTCTGTTTTTAAGGGTACCCATTTTGGGTTGGTTTAAAGCGAAACCAAAGGGGCACCAGTTTTTATGTTCCGAGGACGGATCCCAAACAATGGACACTGAACAATTATTTGTCTGTGTTTATATCTCAAACACGACACTGAGTGACGCATTGCCAGGGAGCCTTGCCGCAATTCCTCGATGCGCCGCATCGAGATAGAAAGTGGGTGCCTTCACCAGCTGGCTGCCGGAAAACGCGTGGACACCACGCTTTCCGGGCAGACTCTTGGCACACGCAGCCTCATGCACAGACCCTTCATGCAGAACTGAAATCGATTTTCGGTGGGCAAGCCGGGATCTTTGGAGTTTCCTTGAGGCGTAACAGCGAGCCTGGCTGGATTTAGTATCAGAGTTGAGCTCTTTATATCTTGGCAGATGATTCTCTTGCCGTCTTTGCATGCCGCTGTCTGCAAGATCCATGCTCTGGCTTGCGCACTGCAAGTATCCGAGCCTACCGCACAGTGCTGTGGAGATGATGTGTTCATGGACATGCAACGATCTAATGAGCTGTTGATGCTTTTTCTTGAAGCTCTGTTCTCAGGCCTGTTGCGAACAATCAGCGAGTGTGGAAATGGCACCCAGTGCGACGGGAAGTTGGGGCACGGACGTCGACTTTTTCTGCTTTGCTTTGTGTTGTTCTTGTTGCCCACTGTCGTTGTTGTTGCCGTTGTCATATGTTGTCATTGCAGGGTTCAAGATCAGCCTGGAAGTTTGTCCCGAAAAGATCGCAAGGGTTATTTGGGACCTCTCAACTACCATCACTTTGCATTTTTTGGAGGTTCAATATGGACAATACTCCCAACAGCCGAATCGCTGTTTGGGGCGACAGGAAGCTCAAAATGAGGGAGGCGCTCAAAAATGGCCATGGGTCAAAATCCCGTACCCCCAGTGAACAGCCCAATCCCCACTAAACTAGACTCAAATGGGTGGTGCACCTACCCCAAAATCGTACCTGAAAGTTTTGACCTACAGCCATAAATCAGGGACACCTAGAGTCTATTTTGCAACCATGAACCCTAAGAAACCAATACCCAACAAGAAGGAGCTTTGCAAATTAGACCCTAGTGTCCACCATACCCCACCCCCCCCCAAAGCGACCTCCTTCTTTTGGGGTATTGGTCTTTTAGGGTCTTGATTGCAAAATACACCCTGGGTGTCCATGGCACGACCCCACCCCCCCCCTTCAAAGCGGCCCAAAGCGCACCAGGGCCGAGGCCGAGCGTCCCAAAGCGCATCTTCGGTCGCCAGGCGGCCGGCGCAGGCGCGCCACCGGGCGCAGCGGATGGAAGAGGACGTTGGGATCCAAGTGGCGCCTCGCGCAGTGGCGACCGCTTGGGGCCGCTGGCGTCGTTTTTTTCCCCACCCGACAGGAAGGGGTTGTTAGATTTTATGTTGGAATCCACGTTTGCGATGCTTCTACACCACGCCCCCACCCAGTATCCCGCCAGAGCAGCTCTCCAGTGGATCCCGCCAAGTATCCCGCCAGAGCAGCTCGTCAGTGGATCCCGCCGAGTATCCCACCAGAGCGGCTCGCCAGTGGATCCCGCCGAGTATCCCGCCGAGCCGCTCGCCAGTGGATCCCGCCGAGTATTCTGCCAGAGCGGCTCGCCAGTGGATCCCGCCGAGCATTCTGCCAGAGAGGCTCGCCAGTGGATCCCGCCGAGTATCCCGCCAGAGTAGCTCGCCAGTGGATCCCACACAGTAGCTCGCCAGTGGATCCCGCCGAGTATCCCGCTGAGTATCCCACACAGTAGCTCGCCAGTGGATCCCGCCGAGTATCCCGCTGAGTATCCCTTGCCAGTGGATCCTGCCGAGTATCCTCCCAGTATCAAGCCGGAGCGGCTCGCCATTATTCGCCAGTGGATCCCGCCAGTGTCCCGCCAGAAAAGCTCGCCAGTCTGGTTTTGCTTAATGTCCCGCCCGGCGCGCAGTGGGGCTGCCCTCGTGTTTTGCGAGAGATCGGAAAGGGAAGCTTTTGTGTTGCTTTGGGTTGTGAATAAGCAACTTCGTTTAATCCCCCGTCAGGTTTGTGTTTGGAAGGGGCTTGGCTTTTGTTAACGGAACCGATGTTTGAGTTCTCGAGATCAGTTCGCAGACAAGTGGAGTTTGACGGTCGTAAGCTCGTGAGTGTGGAGGGTGGGGGTTGCTCGAAGCGAAGTATTTTTTTTTTAGGTCGGCGTTTTTTTTTGGTCGTTTTTTTTTCCTTCTCAAAAAAAAAGGGTGTGGGTTAATATCAATGGGATTCCATTTTGGGGTAGGTGCACCACCCATTTTAGAACCTATTTTAGTGGGGATTGGGATGTTCACTGGGGGTACGGGATTTTGACCCATAGTCATATCTGGCTACGAATTTTCAAATGGAGAGCCTCCTCCCAAATGGTTGGCGGACATACAGCCCCACCTAAATAATGTCCATCAGAGGGCCCCTCATTCACACTTATCTGGGGTCTCCGAAAGGTTGGGGAAGCACATGACGCAGAATTTCTGAACGCGTGATGTTGATTCTGGGGCGAAAAAGAACACCCCAGTTTAGCTTGGTTTGAACGGGGAATCAGGTGGGAGGACAAGAGTGCTGAAGTTTGCCAAAACACAATACGGGTGTGTCTACTTTGTCGAATGTACCCTTTTTGGGGTGGGTTTGCAGGGAACCAAAAGCAACCCCCATTTTGGAGGCACAAACTGCCACACCCATATTTACCCTCAATGAAGATATTGGAGGCATGGGAAAGTATAACATTTTGGAAAATGACAAGCATTGGACAGGGGAGAACGGCCCGGGCTTGGTTCAAGCATCCTCCGTAAGTGATGGGTCCACCAGCTGGAGCTAAGATGACAACCAGGACGGACACAGAAGCTCGAGCTTGGTATGACCTGCCTCCAGATTGGGAATTCCCCCCCCCCCCCCCATTTTTTGACACCTGTCCGCTTGCCGTATTTGGGGATCCTGACACCAATGCAAGGAACCCCCCCCCCCGTACGGCATGAAACACGAGGGCAAGTTCTTGGCTCGGGCGAAGGACGTTTCCAATTTTGAAGCTGGATGCCAGTTGGGGAAATCGTCTCCGGTTTAAAGGTATATTGGTGAAACCAACGCGGCAAGAACAGGCTGTCTGGACAAATCGGACCTGAATGGGGATGAATTCGCAAGCCAAAATTATGCCGAAACTGCAAGCTCGCTGGATGTTCACAACAAACCTTCTTACAAGGACTATAATATTTCGACAGCTATGATTTCAAAAACTCTGCCTTGCCCTTGACCCCCTTGGGGAAATAGACCTGGCCCCCTTGAAAGTACAATTATCAGGCTACTTCCCTGTCAGCTTCCATGATTTTTGGAACGGTACGTGGCAGTGGGTTCAACCTGCTGATTTTTTTCTCTTTCTTTTTTTTTCCGACCCCCTTTTCAGCCATCTTGACGAGTTAAGGGTAAACGATAAAACCTTGTGTTCGGCTTGGGACCCGTTGGGGAAGCAGGCTTCCCTAGCAACTTCCACGCCGAACTCGACCTGGGGTGGGGGGCAAATTAAGGGAACCCGCCCTAGTATGCGCACTCAAGCGCCCCAAAGGTCAGCAGCATGAACCGAGAGCACGGGGTTGATTGGAGCTGAACCGGTCTTGAGCCAAATGGCTACGGTTTGCCCGAGCTGGAAGGAGCGAATCCACTTTGCGCCAGGCAATGCACCAGGTGGTTGATCAACGAAATGAGTGTGCCTCAAGATAGGGGGTCCTGCAGCATGGAATAAAAGGCGTTCCGGTTGGTTTCCCCGTAAAAAATAAGCTCAGGTGATATCCCCAACAGCATGCGGTGCTCTTTTCAGTGCTCGCACCACCCCGAAGCCCTCGCAGAACCTCGTGGAACCGTCGTGGAACCCTGGTGGAACCCTCGTGGACCCCTCGTGGAACCTTACCTCAGGGCCGCCCCTGCCACCCCGGAGCCTATCTGGGCTGAGACCCCAAAGCTTTCAGCTGTTGGAGGAGAAAAAAACACCACCCACAAGAGGGTACCGACTCACAAAAAACGACACCCCCCACATGCGGCTTCATGTTTCATCCATCCAACTGCCTGGCCGATCGCCGGGTATCTTCCAACATCTCCTAGGCGCGGCATCACGAGTACCAGCCCACGAACCTCTCGGAGGCGGAAAGGAGGTCCTGGGTCGCTTTCGGTGGTGTTTTTTGGGGTTGGTTGGAAGGGAAGCCCAAACAAAAAGGCTAGGGTTGGT